GAGGATTGAGTGCCAGCAGCATATAGTTACGATTTAAGGAAAAAGGCAATGGAAGGGTTGGATGAAGGAGAAAGCAGAGAGATGGTAGCAAAAAGGTTTAAAATAGGAAAAACTACTTTATGAATGTCTGGTTTAAGGAATTTTTGGTGCCAATTTTACAGCCTGGACAAACGGTGATTTTGGATAATGCAACTTTCCATAAGTCGAAGAAAATTGTTGAGTTTACCAAAAGCGTTGGTGCAGAAATCCTTTATCTTCCTCCATATTCTCCTGATTTTTATGATATTGAACACCATTGGTTTGCTATCAAAAACAGAGCCAGAAAGAACGTTCCTACTTTTAAATCTTTTCGTCAAGCTGTTGATTATGCTTTCATATAACCCGTTCGGACTATTATATTAGATGCTATAACTGTACATGGTAGAACAAGAGCGCAACTTTATCATGGTCAATCAGATTGGAAGTTTTAAGAAATTCTATACCTCTAATGCTTAACAAATTTCTATTNGTACATGGTAGAACAAGAGCGCAACTTTATCATGGTCAATCAGATTGGAGGTTTTAAGAAATTCTATACCTCTAATGCTTAACAAATTTCTATTGCAATTGCTATAGAATGTTGCAACCACTTGCAGATTGATCTGGTTGACTTACAGACCGACCTTGCACTTTTACCTCACCGAGATGTCCCGATGGACTGCCCTGAGCTGAAAAATTTTTGTGTGCATAATCTTGATCATCCTGCAAAGGATGATGAAAGGGAGCCCTTGATCCTCCTTTAGCTACTGAATGATACAGTCTGTATTCATTGTTCATATTAACCTCCTACGTATAAAAAACACCTCACATTAAAGCTCATGCAACCCCTCCTTCCACAAGAAAGGAAGGGCCAATTTTAGTATCAGAAAATCACGACACTACACAACTTTCTTTGGCAACATTTGCTGTTTGCTCTGTGCGTACTCCTGTAAGATTAGTATTAGCACCATTTGGTAATCCATTTGGTGATTTGCGAACTGTTTTTGGTGTTGATCCTGGTGTTTGAGCAGGCGTGTTAACAAAAACCCCAGATTCACTAACCCCAGATTCACTATTCGCGCGCTTTAGTGGGGTTGTACCTTTTTTGCTCCTAGAGAAGAAAGATTTAATCCATGTGTAGGGTGAACTGCGCTTTTTACTATCCGGATTCTTCAATTTATCTACACTTGCAGACTTATCTACACTTGCAGACTTAGCGGCAGTTTTACCTGATAACCCTCCTGTAATGTCTGAAGAACTACCACAATAACCTGGATCAACAACATAATCTGGATGAGTGCCATAAGGTAACTTTGTACTACGATGATGACCTTGTGCCCGGTCCTGACTACCACCTCGTCCTTGACCTTGACCTTTTTTGCCAGCATTAGGATCAGTGCCACCTGATGAACCTGCAGGATGTGAACGACTAGCACCTTGCCAACCACCATTAGGATCATAACTAACCTTAGGATGATTATCAGTATCATCTGATGAACCACTAGTAATAGATCTCCTGTCGAGAGAATCTACTTGGTGACAAGCATCTGCATAAACTTTCTTTTGCTTTTTTCCTTTGGCTTCTATTTCTTTCTGCAACCGAGTTACTTCTGCATACAACCTAGTTGCCTTCGCACAAAACTGAGCTGCCTCTGCACGCAATTGAGTTGCCTCTCCAGCTGACTGAGTCATCTCTGCACGCAAATAAGCTGCTTCTGCATACCATTGAGCTGCCTCTGCATGTGAATGAGTTGCCTCTACACGGAATTGAGCTGCCTTTGCACTTGACTGAGTTGCCTCTGCACGCAATTGAGCTGACTCTGTAGACGACAGAGTTGTATTTGCACATGACTTAGCTGCCTCTGCATGCAACTTAGCTTCCTCTGCATGTGATTGAGCTGCCCTTGCATACGACTGAGCTGCCTCTGCACGCAACTGAGCTTCTTGCAACTGAGCTTCCTTTTCACGCATCTCATCTACCTTTGCACGCAACTTATCTAGATGTGGAGAAGATTGTACTTCCAGCCCATACTCATCTTCATTAACTTGAGCAACTGCAGCACTGCCAAAAACAGCGTTGCATACATGCTGGGAGACTTCTCTGTTGGAAAAATTTATACCATCTACCCCGAAATTTCTTTTGTCTGCTTCATTTATTATACTTTTATCTGAAATATCTTCAGCAAGATTGCTTACCACCGAAGAATTAAACGCTGCATTAATAGCTTGCACTTCTGACACATTTAGATACCTAAAGTATTGTATCTTACCTCTTTCATCTTTTACAGCTATAGCTGGCAAAAGAAGGCACCTCTCTCCACTCTCTTTAGAGAAAGCATGATAATACCTATCAATTACTATATCCGTTGTATGATAGATAAATTGAGTAAGCAGCTCCTGGAGAACGAACTCCCTCTTTGATAGGCTATCACTATTATTATCAATGCCAGGAATTTCAAGAGCACAACCTATCGTTTCTGTATTATACTGCACACATCTTTGAATAAAGTTCAAATTATTGACAATATTCTTACTAATATACACGTTATTGCCCTGAACTTCCACATAAGGCAATAGATCACATTTTAGCTCTCTTAGCATTTCAGCACAAAACCTCTGTTTAAAATCCTTTGCTAGTCCTTCGCTTGCAAAACGGCTAGACATGATATACTTTTTATTCTTAAGAAGATGAGGGTGAGTATCACCATCCATAGCAGCTCTTGTTGGCTTTGTCATTGAGTAGATGAGATGAGCCTGTAAGTTAAACAACACTTTATCAGTAATAGGGACCTCATACTTAAACTTATTCGTTATTGGATCCTGAAATATCCTACCATCCTTAGGATTAAAAGGAAAAGAATCAAGATAGAAAGGCCCCTGTCCTTCTCCTGGACGACTTCGATGAAATATATCTTCTATTTCGTCTCTTAGATTTTTTAAATACTTTTCACACTCTGTTTCTCCCATGCCATCACCGAATATCGTAGTAATATAATGATCACTTGTAGTAAAATTAGTATCCATAACACCACGGGTACAGTTATTAACATTAAATGCTTCTACTAACGCATCAACTAATTTGTTATTTGAATTAGGCATAACCCCTCCTATTAAATTAAACTATTTTTTTTGACTTGAAGTCGCATAACCTTGAACTTGTGTATTCTTGACATATCCTGATGGCTTGCCCTGAGCTGAAAAATTTTTGTGTGCATAATCTTGATCATCCTGCAAAGGATGATGAAAGGGAGCCCTTGCTCCTCCTTGCCTAGAAGAATCTTTTTTTTTGTGTTCATTATTCATATTAACCTCCTACCTTGTTTAATAAATTATGTAATATATATATTAAAAATAAATTACCATTGCAAGCATTTTTTTTACTAATTTTAACTGCGTTCCTGGTTCCGCTCAGATCTATGTTGTTCAAGCTGGGTCTCCTGCATAGCACTAGATGGCCCGCCAACACTTGATTCATTTGCTCGAGGTTCTGTTCCTACTCTTCTTTCTGCCCTCATTGACCCTTTATCTTTTTTCTTAGGCAATGATTTCTTTTCAACTTCTTGTATAAACTCAGGTTTTGGTTTAGCGGGAGCCAGAGGAGGAGCTTGTTTTGGTTTCTCTTTTGGTTTTGCTTGCACTTCTTTTTCTGCTGCCGGTAATTTTGGCAAAGCTGGTTCATGAATTACAGGCAAGAGAAGATATGGTATTCTCGTGTCTACAATTCCCACCTCGGCCTTAACACCAGCAGTCACACTTTCAATAATAGCTATGCTGAGCAGTGCTCCTATATCTTGAACTAATGGTGCAACACCTCTTAACATGTTGACAATGTTCATAATGAAATTACCGGTGATTTCTTCCTGTATTCTTCTATTTTCTGGCAGAACAACCTTTTCTCGTACCAATAGTTCTTTTATAAATCCTTCACCAACTAGCGAAGTGGCCTCAAGTGCTACAAAAATAGTGAGTGCTTTAATTATCATACTCATGAAATTCAATGGCCCAAAAAGATTTACAAACTTCAGCAAATTCAACCGTTCAAGTTTGCTTATCAGCTCTTCTGGAGATAAATTCTCGTCTAGTAATTCTTTTTCTAAATCCTCTATTTCTTTTTTTAACCTTTCTTGCCAGTTCAAACTCGAACCCGCACCTGCACTAAAAAGTTTTTTCAATAGTGATTTGATAAACTCAAGCATTGATAAAAGACGATCTCGTTTTCTTGTTTGACTAAAGATTGCATCCTTAATTTTTTGATATTCTTTTTCATCTTTCACATTTGCTTTATCAAAAGCATCTTCAAAAAAGCCAAAGATCTGGTCAAATAATTGTTCTGGTGTATCACTCTCTTCGTTAATACACTCATCTATTTTACCACAGGACTCTTCAAAATCTTTATATATCTTATGATATTCTTCCTGTATTTCTTTAGCTCTAAGTTCTTGTTCCTTGATTACATCGTCTGGCTTAACTTTGCCTTGAAACCTTGTACTATCTGAGCTTGAACTCGTTTTGTTTTCGTTATCTTTATAAAAGTCTACCATAAACCTCACCAACAGTGAATTAAATTAATATACTATAATTATCAATATAAAATATTGAATAATTGTTAACTGAACAGCCAACAACTTATTTCCGTAACACATTATGAACTTCATAACAAAATTTTAATCTTAACTAAAATACCCCTGTCATAATTATGAAATAACAAACTTGCCTTGTCAAGTATATTTATACTTATTGTATCATT